CTAATTATACTAAAATTAGAAATGAAAGAGATGAATCTAACAATGCTGTATCAGTACAAGCTGACGACATTTCTATAGAGTATACTGTCTACATCTGTCTTGACAAAATTTAGAAGATAATCTCTTTTGCCTTGATTATGGGTATTCATTTGTAAGGAGATTAAGTCATCAGAGATAATTTTAACAATTACATTTCTTCTATATTACAATATACGTGAAACTGAAGTGACAACTTTGCTTGTGGATATCAGAAAAAAGTTGTGCATGTCAATCTTTATCATCTGATGACAAGGTATTGTATCTTTACTATTTTTTGTCTAAATTTGGATAACAGATATTTGTTGTTGTACAGGCTGTCTAAAATGATTGTAATTTAAAGTAAGAGGTCTCAACTGTTCAGAAAAATAACTACTCTAAGACGAGGCACAAACACTTTTCAATAAAATCACAGTTTAATGGTAAGATGGCACTTCTCTTTTTGTGAGACTTATATGATCCTAACTTAAATTGGCTAGTTCTATTAAGAATTCATTTTTCCCTTGTAGTGATAAAGTACAACTCATTGATTAAAACACCACTATTATTGATTTCTGATAATTAATGACCCTAATGATTTGGGAGATAAATGAAAGTTATAAATATATATCTCTGATACATTAGCCAGTAAAATAATACCTTAAAGATAATAATGCTGTGACAGCCATTTCTAGATATTTGATTTATTAAGATACAAGAAAAAAATGCTGAAGTTAATAATTATATCATATGATTAAAACACTCGAGGAATAAAATGTTCTCTGAAATCTGAAAAGCATCTCCGCAAAGAAACTATTTGTGAAATTAGATTTCCTCTATTTTGTTGATGACTGGAGTTAATTCTAAATTGCTATTCCAACAATAAACACAACAATGAAATGGCATGATATCACAACGTAAGCACCAGAGTTGGATAAAATAAATATTGATAACAAAATCTAAAACAACCGCACAAAATACCCTACAAAAATACAAAATTGTGTTGTTGGCAACATAAGGATTAAAACAGGAATTACATAAAAGTCTGTACTAACTAACCTTTCTATGGTGATATCTATTGTTACTATGGTGATGTTTATTGTTACTATGGAGATGTCTATTGCTTATTGTTGCTACGGTGACATTTGTATGTACTGACTAACATCAGTCTACATACATTGTTTTTGTTACAATGGTGACATTTACATGTATTATTTAACATTACTATAGTGATGTCTATTGCTTAATGTTTCCATGGGGACATTCATATGTACTAACACGATTACCGTGATGTTTATATACATCTCTTATTGTTACAATGGTGTGAATTTACAGGCATTTTTGAATACCTCTCGTTTAACTGTCTGGTAATTTTCTATCTGACATCCACAATACATGAACTTACATTAATATGTACTGTTTAACACTAATATGGCAACATCTGTATGTTCAAACTTTTCTCTCATGGCAACAACTGTACATATCTCTGTGTCTGACACTATGCCTAAGTACAGACTTTATTGTTTCTGTTTAATTCAGAAAGGTTTCTCTCCTCTCCCCACTCTTTTTTGAGGTAAGAGGGGAGGGTAGGTGTGACCGTGTGAGGAAGGGGCGTTGGTAATGGGGCCTTTTTCTGAAAACCAAATATTTTGCAATTCATCCCAAAAATTGGCTTTAAATACCAACTGGTAATTTTTTTTTTAAAAAATAAGACATGCTGCACTCTTTGAAATGACCAATACCTATTCAACAGATGAGGTGAAAACTCACTTTTCTTAACATTTTTTTGAACAGTTAACAGTTCCAAAAGACTCTAGTCACTATTCATTGGCATACAACGGAAAATCATTTAATACAAGCCTTATACTACTTCACAGCACCTAATAGACCTAAGTGCACATATCTCAATCTGCTGACATTTAGCTCATGACTAAATGTGAACAGATTGGCACTTAGATGAATTGGTAAACCCATATATGTGTAATAGGAAACAATATACAATAAACATAATATCAATTTTAAGCACAATCATGATCGAGTTCACTGGTTTGAACACCAACAGCACTCCAACAAGATCACCACTAGAATCGTTTATCATAAGAGATATTTGGCGATACATATAAATGTGAAAATTAGTATTAATATATTTGCAAATAAGTCACAATTCAAGGCTCGATGTCTGTATGAATTTGAATCTAACATTGGTATGGAAGCATAAAAAAATGCCCTGAATATCTAAGTGCAACTACAGCGGTCAGTAAATTGAGGTCACAAATATCCTACAGCTGATGGATAAATATGGGGTACATGATCATCTGTCCTTACACCTACAAATAAATGTTAATTACTTTTATCACGTAACAGAAAGAATGATATGATGTTCCTAATTCTCATTTATCCTATTGACCTTATCATCCTGGGTTACAATTTACCGATAGATATACTTGAGAACAGAAATGTCAGTATACAGATAAACTTGAATGTATGTATGTATATTACTTTAATTTAGACTAGTAAATAATGATGATTAAAAGTCACAACTCTTTGTGTCACCTTAAGAAGACATTTGGGTACAACATTAGCATGATATTTTACTTTTCATTTAGTCTGACTAGTCTAAAGATTAATATTCATTATTAACAGGAATTTCCATTCATAAAATTGCTATCATGCTGATACACCGTCATTCCAAGAATATACAGATCTTTAAAATAAAACAAATCTGACTAGACTTTTAACAAAAGTCAATTATTCCGTTCCATATTTCAAAATTGGTAGAATACATCAGAATATATTCATGTACGTCAATAAAGCAGCCTGTTGCGGGCTACAGGTCTATGTATTGCAGTCTACTGGGTTCAGTTGAACAGTCTATTGCTATCTAAAGGACTACATATCAATGGAAAAGTCTATTGCGAGCTATAGGGGTATATTGATACATTTACAATGAAAATCCCCAAAACGCTGAAATTAATTTTGTTGCACATACATACACATGTTCTAGAAAACCTTTCAAACTTGAATCTGATTAAAATGATAAGTGAAACTTTCACACTGACTAGACCTATTAATACAAATGAGAACCTTTCACAATGACCTGGTTTGAAAACCATTCTTAAATGAACTTTTAAAAAAAATGGAAATAGTTAGGATCACATTTCAAATTTCACTGGGTTTACAAATCAGAGGTTACAATGTTCAAAATTGGTAAGAGGTCATTAAGGTCAGTTGGGACAATGGTTTGAGGTTAATGGGTTAAATTTTCGAGACGTCTTTTGACTTGCCATTTACATCAAACAGCACACTTTGCTCTACATAATCATTCATGAATGCAATCCATTTCTTCAAGTAGTCTTTGAACTTTGTTGTTTCCAACATAAGTTAGAAATATCTTCATTCAGAGTGATGCAAGTTTTGAGCTCTATTTTCATGACAGGGTGCAGCTCAAAGATGAGCTGGCTAATCTTTCCTGCCAAAAAAAGTCATTGATAATGTTCAATGAATTCTGGCAAATTCTTATGTTTGCAAAGAACTTAAAAGATCTGGGCTGATTAAAATCACATCTAAGGTCTCATACAACTTACAATATGTAGGAATAACTCTAACAAATTAACAAGAGGAGATGTTTGTTTCTCACTAATATGATAAAAATGACAATATATTTAAATAAGTTGATTTTGTCGTAGTATTTAACATCCACACCAATAAATAAGACCTTTACAATTGTTTTCTTACATAACATAGTTTTAGTTGGAATAAAATATATTGATGACATATCTTATGTTTACCATGATGACATATCTTATGTTTACCAGCACCATTCCATTTGATACAAGATTCAGGCATTGCCTGTTTATATTGATCATTTCTGACATGATTTAGTGGAATCATACTTGTCATGACTTTGCTTTTTTTCGTACAATCTAGAGAGTGTCCATACTTCTATTAATTCTGTAAACCTTTGCTACTGAGGTGCTACTTTGACAGATTGCAGACGATCTATTATCGATTTCTGTCCATGAATCATTATCTACTCTGTTACCATACATGAGGTCAGATTTTACAGAGTTTCAACTCATGTTCTCATGTCCCATCTTTGTTAATATTTACAAAATAAAACGGGGTCACACCAACAATACAATATTAACAAAAATATTTTGCAGGATTTTGAATTATCAACAAAATAAAATTGGCATCTTTCAGTAGACACACTTGGTAAAAAGCTTTCAACCATAAGCATTTGCACCTAACTTACACGCTGTTCAACCAAAGCAGGTAAAACACAAAGCAGATAAAAGATCTACCAATACTGAGCACACGCAATAAACTTACTCTCTCCACAACTCAAACAGGATTTAAAGTAACTATTTTTATGGTAGACATATTTTAATCTGGTTATAATTAAGATGAACAGCTAATACAATCTGATAATTCTTCATGATTTGCAGCTAGTATTTAACCAAAAGTAAGCAACCTTTCAAGTAAGTTAAAAAAATATTACCTGTTAAAATATTCTGTGATCTGCTTTACCAATTACCTGTTAAAATATTCTTTGATTTGCTTTACTCGTAAATCTAATCTGTTCCATTTTTCCTTTGCGAACCGCTAAACATTTAAATCCAGATTGTTGTTAAAAGTATTGATTGTTAACCCTTCTCATTTAAAACCAGTTCATAACATCTGGTGAATATCAGTCAACATTGCTAGGTTTGATATCACCGTTCAATCCATCCTGTAACTGTACATTAAGACCACCCACAGAAGATGTTAAATACTTCACCTGTAGTACAATTTAAAATTGGTAATGAACTACAAATATTGTAGATATCACTGTCATTTTTTAAAGTTTTGGCTATCCCTTTCAGTGGCTATCAGACTCATACAAGTATCAGCCACAATGTGGCAAACAACATGAGTACTGGCCACATTTCTCAATGGTAACTATATTCAATCAGGCACTAGCCACCTTCTTCTGTGGTAAACTTACTAAGATTCCAATGTAACCCCATTCCCTATATCAACAAGGATCACTGTCACTATAATACGAGTCTTTTCTCCAAAAAAGTTTTCTATCCCTGTGAAACTAGGGCAAAGCTGATATCTCCATCATATTGAAAAAGAATTTATCAATCCCTTCTTACAAAGACAGTAAAGTTTGTCACTCTTCCTGCTGAATATAAGCTAGTTTGTCTTTCCCTCAGATTGAATTTGGTTTATGTAAATTTCTCCCTCCAGTTGAACAAAGTCTTCTTGTTGAACATAGCCAAGGTTATTTCTTCCTTCCTGTTGAACGCTGCCAAGCTGTCTCACCTTGTGTCGATTGTCTCCCTTGGACAAATGTTTCTTAGTCCGAATTTGATTTTGGCTCATAATTCAACCTGAAGTGACCTGTGTCATGCAAAGAAATATATAAGTTTTAATTACATCATATGCAATGACAGTGTATATCATGATAGTGCTTTTAAAGTTAATTGATCCTGAGCCACTCACCGGTAGCTATTGAACTGTCAATAGATCATATCTATTGTTAATGAGAATGCAATCATAACATAACAGAGTTGTCATTTTCAGTCCTTCAACATCTTTCCAGTCAGTTCATAGAGTCGTAACACAAGGCATGTATAAATATTACATTTTTGCTAGTTAACTGATTTATAACATAACTCTAGTCTTACCTGTAGCCTAATATCTACTCTAACTTACAATGTTTGCCTCATTTCTTATCTTACTTACCAACAAAATGTTCCATAGAGTTTTCACGACATTCGGCTGCATTGTGGTCAGGTGAACCACAGTTGCTACAGGAGGCTTTGCGGGACTTCTCCTCTCGGCTGGGTTGCCGTACCAGGGTATGGTATGGATAGTAACCAGAAGAACTTCTCTGGGTCATGAAAGGTGTTGGAACCCCATGAGATATAAAAGGGTGGTTGTTGAGAGACAGAATGTCTGGAGTGAGTCCATTGGGAAAGCTATTTGACTGTGGTATGTGGTAGGGGATACCTGGATACCGTAACATCTGTGGTATAAGTCCATTTGAGGAGGAGGAGAAGTGTGGTGACATATGCCAGAATGGAGCATGGTTGAGTGGGTGGGGAAGGGAATTAGTGTGATAAGGGTAGGTGGCTGGGTAGGCATGGCCACATGGACTCCCACATGAGCTGCAGGTGGCACTTGAACAAGTGGTGCTGGCCTGGCTGGTGGCAGCATGCAAGATGTGTGACCCCGAGCAGCCACTTGTGGTTGCTGGGCTGGGACTAGAGTTTTGTACCAATGGTGACACAGAGTGGACATTTTCCTGGGGACCACAACCAGCTTCAACTGACAGCTGACCATGACTACTGGAATTCTTTAAGCTGTTGCCTGGGTGACCTGGATGGATGGCTCCGCAACTCACAGACTGAGTTGACATGGTAATAGATGTAGCGTTAGTAACATTACAGGTGAAGCCACGCTGGTTACCATTGATTAATGGTGGTCTGATCTGGTATCCTGGAACTTGAGGTACTTGCATCCAGTTAAAATTGAGTTTACCAGGATCTATGAAACTGAAGCCTGAATTAGCAGAACTGTTGGCAGCCGTCATGACACTTGTAGTAATAGTTTGGCCATCACTGCGTGGTATGGGAGGTGCCATTCCAATTGGTATGCTTGCAAAAGGACCGTTACGTTTGAGACTATCTGGGGGCATGCTGATAACATGTTTGGGTGGAATATTAAGGTTGGTGTGAGCTGGCTGAGCCTTGTAGTTAGGTCGAGTTATCATTGATGGAACACGTGGCAGGAACGCTGATGGAGTGGGATCTGACTGATATCCACTTCCCATTGGTGGCACAGGTGGGCCATCTCCATGGACAAACATCGGAGAGGGCATCCCAGGCAGGAGCGGGGTAGAATTAGTGTCCTCCACTCCCATGGGTGATGGTACCTGGTTCTGGCTCGGGAGTCGTCCAGTCTCTAATCCAGTAAGTTTGTCTGGGAAAATGTCAGAGATACAAGGTAGATAACATCGTCAGTGAAACAGAAAAGAATTTCACATATAAGACATATCAATAACACTACTCTTGTTTGTTTGTATGCTGGCCTTATCGCCTTGTGAGCAGCTATTTAATGATGTACAGATATCATTCATGAAGAAGCAAGTACAGTGGAATCATCTATTAAGGCCATCTCTATGTAACAAATAATTGTCAATAAAGGAAGACACTTTAGAGTCCAATTGTATTACACTTCTTAGTAACTGAATGTCTACATCTAGGCCAATTTTTTTCAGTTCCATTGAGTGGCTTTCAAGCAAGGTTTGACTGAAGAAGGAGTTCTTTTGTTACACCCACCTTTCTCATTATCATCTGAGGAGCTGTCCGAGTTCTTTGGCACACTGTTTGGCATAAGGATTGCTGTGCCCTTCTTCTGTGGACGAGGACTTGGGGAGGGGCTGGAGTAATCAGAGCCAGATGGAGAGCTGTCACGTGTCTGGGTGAGACCTGGGGGACCGGGCGGGAATGGTGAGTAGATAAACATATGTGGATAGAGAGGAGGCTGGGTCAGTGCCCCACCTTGGGGGTGGACGGCCAACTGGTGAGGAAGTGGCATAACCATTGGAGGTGATGGGTGGCCACGTGGTCCTCCCATAGAACTCTCAATCAAGCCATTGGGTGGGTGCGACATCTTCTCTCTGGAAGTAGGAAAAATAATGTTAAGCTTTATACGTTCTATAATTGAATTTGATGGCACATTATTTTCAAGGCACTAAAATGGTCAGTTACAGGTATGAAGTCACCAGGCTTCGTTCATGTCATATCAATGATATTGTCTGTTAGTGATAAGTCATCTTTTAATGAATATTGATTGTATAGGTGTGTGAAATATGCTGTTTTCATTGAATTTTTCATAAGGAAATATTCAATTTGATAAAACTAATTTTCATGATAAGAAAGATATCAAAGATGATATCTTCCCCACTGTGAAAAAGCTATTTCACTAATGATAAATCAGGATAATACTTTCAAAATCATGTATTCCCTTTTCAGATGAATATGCAGCAATGGTAGAGTCTTGGACCACACTAAGGTGTATACTGATCTGTAGAACTGTGAGGACTTCTGTTAGTGAATCTTCACAAGTAATACCAGAAAATAGCCAAATTACATTGAGTAACATAAGTTGTCAAGTTGATGTCAGAAAACGTACAAATGATAACTCAAAGGCAATGATTCCCCTATACTTTTCAAGCATAAATATTTATAAGTAAGTATGTTAAAGATGTAATAAAGAGAAAATTCAAAGTAGGGGTCTGGGAAAATATTTTAAACCACTAGGCACAGGACTGATGGGATAAAAAATTTACTCTTATGAATTGGAATTTTACTCGTCCAAATTCAGCTATGAAATGGCGACTTAATGAGCATGGATGTGACTTTTTTCTATTTTTATTTGAAGTGTTAGTGAAAAAAACTATGCAGTGATGGCTGCTTTGCATCAGACATTGTGCTTGACTTAGGCCTAGTCGTAGTGTTTGTTTACATTTGACTGACTAGGTGCAGTTAAGAACGAGAGCATCTGACATCAGTATGACAGCTGGAAAAAGACTAAGGTATTCCGAATGCTATATTTGACGTCATGGGAGTTCCGGTGTAATCGAAAGTTAGAGAGCAGACTGGAATATTTTGTTTTCGAAGTACCGTAAACACGTTTCTTTGTTTTAAATTCTCTTTACATTTTTATTGAAACTTAAGTTGTAACATTAATATCATTGGAAAAAGTACTCGTCCAACGGACGATTGACAAAAATAAATCTGGTTGTCCGAGACAATTTTCACTCGTCCATGATGACCAGACAAGTGCTTTTCCGGACCCCTGCAAAGGCTTACAAAAGCGCCCTACTTCTAAAACATAACAGATGACTTGTCAACCTATTTAGTATCTGAAGTGCTGACTGCAACCCCTCATGTCTGAAGCACTTATTCTTTGATGCTCGTTACACCAAAATCAAGGCAAAAATGAAGAGTCAATCTGATCCGTATTTACATCTTAAAACTTGATGACAACTAAGTGTGCTTACAGTTAGGGATTCTCTGAATTTAAATGTACTACAGGCATTAATTATTCAATCTAGATCTACAAATCACTATAATAGTGAATCACAAGTAAAATAAATAATCATTTTATCACAACAAACTCTATGGCTTTTCTCACCTCGATTTCAGATATGTTTGTTTCAGTGAAAATAAAACACAAATTGGTCTACTATATGAAACAAATACAAGCAAGTATTAGCATAATTTTCTGTTTTATTTTGCATTTGCATATTTGTATTTCATTATTGTATTAACCATATCTTTTTAATCTCTGTAGTGGAGACTGTTGATGTGTCGTCAGCTTTATGTCACAAGAGGAAAGAATAATTTTTTTTGCACGAAATTTAGATTTGATCATGGATTCGTGGTTAAAAGTAATTACTTAACCCCTTGTTTATTCAAATTTATATGAAATGCCTGTGTTATCAAAATCCAAACTTCGAAAAATGTGACAGTTCACATTGGACAGCACCTATCATAAGTTTCTCTTTGAGTAAACTGCTAATATTTTTGGAGTACAAAGGGCCCATGACTGTTTCCGTCTGCCAATCATACCTATAGATCAATTCTGCCTCATTTTTGAGTTTCAGAGCCTCTTCTTTAGACAGTCCAATCAGCAGTAAATCATCAACTTTCATGCAACACAACTGAAAAAACAAGTTTTCTTAATAAAATTTCATGAGCCAAATCAAAATGCTTTGCTAGAACTGTAGATCATTTTTATATCTATATGCATGTATATATTCCTTCCCTTTATCAATTCCAGATGAGATATGTTTGAACACTTATGATTATCTACAATGAAGTAGCACCAAGTCAAAAGGATATTCAGTCTCACATCTTTGTATAAAACTTTGCATAAAAGTTCACAATAAATCAGATCACAAAACAAAAGAGACTAGATATAGGGAGTAACATGGTAAAGAAAAGTCTCTGACAAGTTTCAATTGAAATCAGTCTACCAATTCAATATTACACAAACACCATTGTCAGATTCTAATTTGTTTCACAAAATTTGAGAAATATATTTACAGACATCTTTCCAATGCTGCTCTACATAACTACAACTGATGGAATAACACATTTTTAACTACTGAGACTAAAGCAAGACATGATCTCTTTAAAGTGATATTGAATGGTACCCAGACTTTTTTTCTTGTTTTGAGAAAAAGGCAATATAGAAAGGTACTTACTCTTTGTTATGTTCTAGTGAGAGACACAGTATCTTAAAACTTAATAAAGATTCACATCCAAGTACATTTTATTGTTTGAAAAACATTCCTAAATAAAATAGCATAAAAAAAATTTCTTCTCAATGTCAAGCAAATTCTCTTTGCAATTTATAAATAACAGAACTATTGTAAAACAAGAGGCCCATGGGCCTTAACGGTCATCTGATAAAAAAGCAAGCCAAACCTATTTTAACATATTTGACCCCTGTGACCTTTAAAGTGGGTCAAGGTCATTCATTTGAACAAACTTGGTAGAGCTCCATGCCAGTATCCTCTGTGCCAAGTATTAGCCCCCTAGACCTTCTAGTATTTGAGAAAAAGTTGTTTGAATGAAAAGTTTACGCACGGCGGACGGCGCACAGCGGACGACGGACAAGCACGATGGCTATAGGTCATCTTGACCCTTTGGGTCAGATGACCTAATAATTATGTCCATTCCCTGCACATAGGGTATTCTTTTATATAAAGTTATCTTACACTCTGCCCAAACCAAAACTGTTCTTCTGTATCCCAGTTATTTGATACCTTGTACAAACTATCTGGTCTATTTTATCTGCCCTATTTCTTTCGACAGATTCAATAATATGTACAAAATAAGTCTGTTTTGCTTCACCTGACCTAACTGACACCCTCTTCAAATTGTCTGTTCTAGATTATCTGAGTAATCGGACACTTGCACAAACTGAGTCTGTTCTATTTTACTTGACTTATCTAACAAACACTATACCTGTTCCGATGTGTACTTCTCCAAATGGTTTCTGTGTTTCTGCAGGTTAAGTTTGCTAAGAAGGAACTGGATAAGTGCCAATTCTGGATTGTGATTTGTGTCACCAGGAGAGTTAGACCGACTGTTGTTAGGCGAAGCCCCATTGGAGGACTGAGGAGACTGGTGTGGTGATGATGGGCCCATGGGTCTGAAATTCAGCAATAACTGTTAGTCTTACATCTATGTTCTTTTGACAATAATATCAATAACAATAACTATTGCCACAATTTACATATCAATCTGACATTACCTTTGGACTGACATCACAGGCTTGTTGTTGACTTGTCCTTTGAGTGGGACACAGCTCACGCCGGTAACATCTGAAAAAAATTTCAATTCAAACTTTCACAAATATTCATCATTATTTCCTCAGACCAACACAAGATGTAAGATTTCCCAAAGAACAACACTAGCTGTTGTAAGATTTTCCCAAAGAACAACACTAGGTGTTGAAAGATTTCTTGCGAACATATCGTTTTCTTGGTGCTACATGATGTGAACAGATTTGAAGAAACAAAAGTCTTTTGATTGGCCTTTAGTCTTGCATTGTTGAGTTACATCTGAATTTGTGAAATTTCAACATCAGTTTCTGTGAACTTCATAACTACTTTCTCTTTCCTTAAAATGCAAAAAATACACTGTATCAAAGAAAAATATTTCACTAGACTAAAAAAGGGGCAAAGTGCTATCCTGATTGTACAGTAGTAAGGACTGTTTTTGTCATTGTCTACAGAGATTATATTACTCTAAGTGTATTTAATCAGTGTACTATCATTTTAGCACTCTTGAGGATGTTTTCAACGTGTCCTTTAGCAGTGACCTTGTACAGGTAATCTAACACTGAACCATGTTTATTACAAAACATGTCCTATACAGGTGAGGTGACTATTCAAACTGACCAATAGTACTGTATGTATCAGACAGTGTTTACTGATCAATTGTTGTATGTATTGTATTTCTATGTCCAACGACCAGATGGAGAAATTTAGCACTGCACTTGAATTAGCGCAATGTCTTCAGCGTATAAGGCACTAATACTAAACAACCACTAAAGTAAGTGTGTGTACAGCATCTAGATAAAACACAACCCTATCTTTATGGTATAGTAGTCAGTGCTGTCAATGTCAGATTGCTGGACCTCATATTCCTTACCAACATTGTCTATGGTCTGTGGTAGGTTTGAGTTGTGAATCACTAGAGGCTGGGATGGATGGTGGTTGGATATCACAGATTCTGCAGCTGAAAAAATTAAAACCCTAATTACAAATTAGTTTCATGAATGAAACAAACTTTAAAATACAGTAGAAAACTAATCTAGATTAATCTCTAACAGTGCAATAGGCTTTGTTTCAAGTCCAGTTGTCACATAAAATAGGAGAGTAAAATAATTCAAAATGGTGGTGATAGACATCCCAACATCTATTACATTATTCATCCTACATTAAGCCAAGGAATTTACCTCCAACTCAAAACTCAAGAGGTGGACTTGCTGGGCAATTAACATTTGTTACCTTACATTAAGTAATTTTCAAGGGTCAAAATTTTCCCAATTTTCTATCAAATTATATCTGAGTGAATTACAACTTTGTGATCAAGGTGTAAAAAGGACATCTTCTATACACATGTCTTAATTATTTTTTCTAACTGAATGTTTGTGATTTCTTTAAAGTACTGGGGAATGTTGAAAATGTCATCCTCATGACCTAATACCTAATTATACAGTATTCTATACAACAGTTATAAGATGTAATGAGCTTATTACTAGTCGTGAGCTTATTGATACTGATTACAGCATAAAACATCTATCATTCCTTGGAAGATTATAATTGGAGTTGATAACATGTTCCATTACACCATTGTAAATTGAATTATCTGTCGTATTTCAACTAGAGGATGTACTGCTTTCATAATCAAGATTCTTTCATTGTAGTGCCCATGGACATAATATGGGTATACATATTTGTACAGTTACCTTCAGAGCTGTTCTTGCTGACGGTGGTGGGTACAGCCTTGACTGGGGACTTGGCAGGTGCGTAGGAACCTGCAGGACTAGGAGGAGAGGTGGAGGCAGTGTTTATTCCTTGCTGGAAAAACTGCTGCACAAGATCACACTCAAGGATATGTTGTGACTGCTGTGTCAGTTGTCTGTAATGAAAGTAAGATACTTCCTGTTAGAAATAAAGGTAATATTAATGTATTGTTGTTTGCTGGGACTCTTCTGACTGAACAACTGAACAACATAGAAACACAAATCAGCAAGGCAAATAATCCTTGAAATAAGTCCAACTTATTTTTTCAATTAATATCACTCATATGTTCAAATGACCAACATTTTAGTTCTTCCTTCTGCTAAATAAAATTTGTTTCCCTGAACTTCATTAGCACTTAATGCCATCACACTACAGGCCAAGTATAATGATTCTAGGTCTTTTGGTTAATCAGATGCAGTTGTTTGAGCATTTTAACAAATCTGACCCTTGTGGAATTGAATATAGGACATATTTTATAATCTTTGCAGCACTCAGTGCTAAAACTACAGATTCTACATTATGATTCCAGCATTTCTGTTAATAGGAAGAAGTAATTTAAGTGTGTTTAACAATTTTGACCCTTCTGATCTTGAAAATGGTTGAATGTAAATCCATTTTCAAACATTTGTAGCATCTTTCGGCAATTGACAATTAGCAGGGCTTGAAAGTGGTCTAAAACACAATAATAAGTATAAATGATGGACAACAAAAGCACATTGGTTACTTACTTGGTATAATTTATGATGTCTTCACGTATACCTGAGCTTGTATTACCTGAGGAGATAACATGAGTGTTATAATTAAGAAAAATAACCAAGCATATTTTGAATATTGTTTCTTATCTTAGTACAAACAAGAAGCATAAAAGCTTTGAGGGTCACCTGAGATAAGCAATATTGAATATAACAGTTATAGGATAAGTAGCATTGATGACTAAGTGATAGAAGCCCCTTAGGGTCAGCCAGTGTCATATACAAATTATCAGATTTTCTACCATTCTGGGTGTTGAGAAGACCTTTTTTTGAATTTGAGTTCATTTGACCCTTTTTGCCTTTTGGATCTGCCATAATGACACCATATAATCCACAGATGCTCATCTTTGGCCAGGGAAGGTTTCAAAAAATTTACGGACTCACTAAACGTGAGACCAGATGGAATATAATTGCAATTGTTCTCCATGGGACTGGAATGTAATTGCAATTGGTCTCAATGAGACTTTGGGACAGGGTGACCTTAAAAAATTTATTTCAGATTATCACAAGATTCACATGTTTTTATTCTGCAAAGGTTTACCCAAAGACTGTTAAAAACTCATTATCATATACACAACAATGTTAAAACAACAGGTCCATGGACCTTAACAGTCACCTGACCATGAAGACATACATATGAAAAAGGCCAAATAGGCCTAAATTGCTCTACTACTCTACATCTTACAAGGAAGACATTTCTTAAAACATATTATCCTTTATGGATTTATCCATTTTAGAAAGATAAAATAACAAACAAACAAAAAATGATGCAAAAATTATTTTTAGGTTCTACAGCAAAATGTAAGAAAGGTTTGAATTACAAAGAAGTCTCAGAGAGAAATGAACTGTGAATATTTTATCTGTACATAGACTACCATGAAACAACAGAATTCCCAAAGTGCTGTAAGTTAAACAAAAAAAATATGTTGTTTACCAAGGAATGGCAGCTTCCTGTCCTGTTTATGAGCACTAGCTTCTGCAGCAAACTCCTTCACCAACTAAAGGATAGAAAAAAGTCATCATCCTGAATATTACACAAAGGAACCATAACTTATATCTAGTACATAAAAGTCTCTCTAAATGAGTTATTATCATAACATTTCAATATTTGAATATATGTAAAATTCTGTTTCATGAACTTTTGGCACAGTTACAATTACAAGTCATTAATGTCAGTGTTCCCATCTTATTTCATTGCAACTGGATATCTTATCAGTCACTTAAACATCATCCCATAAACTCCTATAATAAACTGTTTTCACATATTCTATACATTTTTTTTCTATGTCTACCACAATTTTAATAAAACATTGTTTCCTCTTGAACAAATAATTACAATCCAATCCTTCTATACAGTAATTAGGCAAATATTCTTTAAGCTATTACGTGTATTCATAACAGTAGTGCATGTACCTTGGCCTGGAACTCGCGTAACTCCTGATAGGTCTTGCTAACTATACTAATCTCTCCATTACTCCATGTGACCTGTATAGATTTCAGAAAACACAAATCACTACACAAAACGAAAGTGAAAGTAGAAATTATGTATTTTTATACCATAACAATTATCAGCTATAGACTACATGGAATAGAGTCAGCTTCTGTTATATATATTGTGTATTATGTCATTGCTTTAGGTATGACATGTACTCCTAAAATATTTTATTGTAAAATGAGTCTAGAGACTTGACCGACTTCTTGCCTTCATACACAGGTATAATCCTGTTGATACTAACCAATGTTTCTAGGAAGGGTACACACCTGTAACCGATATTCATGTTTTCTCTCATGTCGTCGGTGTCCTTTGTCTTGTTTTACATCAATGTTACAGATATGGACTGTGAAAGAGAGAGATGAAAAAATAAATAAAAATTCAATATGCTCTCATTATGATAAAACTAACACCACATCAATCAATGTTTACATGACCTCAAGGAAAATTTCTGTTTTCTGTTTTTTTTTCTTTTCCCAAAATTTCTATAATAATCACAATGTATATGGGTTGTTTCTAATTAGGAGTAATACACACTGTAGTAGGTACACTTCTAACCTTATATGATCTGGGTACATATATATATAGTTGATTAAGAATAATAAAATAATGATATATAATATACATGCCAATATTTTGCATGATTCCTTATGAGAGATAGTGGTACCATCATATTACATGAGAAGGCAAAAATTGTTATCACAGGTCATCGAGTATACCCCACTTTCTACCAAAGCAGATAATGATTAATGAGATTCATCATGGTCCCTATATAGGTAGTGACAGATTGCTTTGAGGTGAAACAAGAGGCCCAAGGGCCTCAACGGTCACCTGAGTTACAATGCCATTGCTGGTCTTGTAACATGTCATAGAAATAATCTTGTTGACGAAGTAAGATAACTTGAACTACATTATACATATGATACAAATATAAAACATGTATATCCTGAACTACTATCCTATACTAAGCCTCCTTGCCATGTTTGAATTATAAGAAATCACACTCAAAAATGTAATTTCCTATAAAAACGCTTCCATCCATGAATAGCATTTTTAATCGATTTCCCCATATTTGGCTATTGAGAAGATTGTTAAAATTTGTGTAAATTTGACCTGTTTTGACCTACTCATCAACCCCTGGAGATCAGCCACGATCAATTTATGTATGTACCATCAAACTGTCATTTTATACTAACAAATCTTACCAAGTTTGATTTTTTTCCAATTTAAAATAAACAAATTATGCTAAAATATGACTATAGATAATTTTACTACATATTATATAGTAAACTTTACCCCCTCTCCAGGGGGGAGGTTTCTGTAAAATTTTATTGAAATCTGTATCGGGCTTTTCCAGAAGTCCAAGTTGCAAAAGGTCACCATGGGACTTTGACTCAGATAATCCAAACATAGTTTAAGACTAATGATTATATATATGTGGAACCCAGATCACAGACAATTATAACAAACCCACAAACTGGAAATGGGCAAAAAATGAAAATAATTTTATAACTTTATATAGTATTAGTGACCTTAATCTTTGGCTTGGGCTGATCAGAACCCTCAAAAACTAAGCTATTCCAGGTATTTAAGTAATGAATCAGATTGGATACATGAATGAATAATGATTTAAAACTGGGTTAACATGAGGATGACAAGACAAAATGATAATTATCAAGTTCTACTGTATTTACAGTGATAAAGACCATGATCTAGGTCCCAGGACAATGACACAAGACTTTACAGTACATACCATGTATGTTAATTGGAATGGTGTTAGAAAATAATAACTGACAGCTCAAAATGCCAGATTGGACAAATATGAATTAAACGCAATGGTGACATCAAGAGTGTTTTCCACAGTACGTTAGGTTTTAGCTGTGTGTATGTGATTTGTGTATGACACACCTTTACCCACATAAAAGGACAATTAAAGAAATCCATTTTCATTAACTTAATTTTTCATTCAAAGTAAACATGTACATGTTCTCTGACGTTTCCATACAATGCAGTTTCTGTGTTGTAACGTTGACACTACATGTCAGAAAATAGATTTGGACTTTCAGAAATGTAGAGATTCAAAATTATCATAAAACATCTTACTTTATTACTTTAACTACAAAATGACACACATAAATTTAGGCCTATACTATTGCAATGTAATGACTGAATGACTCATATCTCTGTTGAAGTTATCATTTAAGATAAGCATGGTTAGAACATGTTCTTACTTTGAATCAAGATAAAGATTAGTACATCATTGGCAACAACGTAAGAATAATTAAGGATTTGCCACCAATTACACATATTTTCATATCGTCTAAGAATTTACAATTCTGCATACAACTGTAAACATTTAATCTTTATGCACCGCTGATCAATACCTTCACATTGGACCGTCATCTACTTATTTTGACATCAGTGTTCATAATCAAAGCATCAATTTACCTGGGAAAATTATACGTCTGATTGTTTGGTTACTGAATTATGTAACCCATTCCTGGTCTTCAGACCGAGCAACCAGTTTAACGCTTAATTTATGCAAACCCTGGTATAGATATAGGGTCGACAAATCATTTCTTACTTGAGAGGTGTGTTTATCACATAAGTGGGCTTATTGCCGGACAAGGAGAGCTATAATTCATGAAACAGTCATTTATATGGGTGGACTTATTATAACACAAGGAAAGCTATGATTCACGAAACAAATATATATGAGTAGGCCTTTTACAGGACAACAAAAGCAATTATTCACAGAACAGTAATATATATGGGTGGGCTTATTATAACACAGGGAAAGCTATGATTCACGAAAAAAAGTAACATATATGAGTAGGCTTATTACAAGAAAAGGAAAGCTATGATTGATGAAACAGTAATATATATGGGTGGGCTTATTACAAGACAAGGAAAGCTATAATTTATGAAACAGTAATATATATGAATGGGCTTATTATGAGACAAGGAAAGCAATCATTCACGAAACAGTAATATATATGGGTGGGCTTATTACAGGACAAGGAAAGCTATGATTCATGAAACAGTAATTTATATGGGTGGACTTATTACAAGACAGGCAAAGGGAAAGCAATGATTCACAGAACAGTAATATATATGAATGGGCTTATTACCAAGCATGGGTTATTATCAACTATTTAATGCAAGAATAATTTCATCCTCCAACTTCTTTAACAATCCACACATAACACATTTTGTGATATCACACACAATACACAGGCATCTTAAGCCAAGTACAGACAATGAACAAATAAATCATGGAACGAGATGAAACACTGAAGTCCCTGGTGACATTTGTTACATACTAGATGTCTGTATATCATCTAATCCTGCATCTATAATAGCTACAATGGTGATCACGACCTCTTTCCAACAGAGTCTATTTAACCTATCAGTAATCAGTGCATTTTTTTTACATAATCATCAGTCTAACACTTTATCATTTATACATGCATGATGAGGTTATTATTCATACATTAATGATGAGGTTTCAACAAAAATTTGATACTTAGTCATTGCTATTTGATTAAGTTATGACGATCACTTTAAAACAGTATTTTACAGGAGCCCATTTTACAGAAGATTTATAAGTCTAACACCATAATTTTTTTTTTACCACGCCTCTGTCAACGTAAAAGATATATATATGGATCTTCTCACCCACCATAGTTTTATTTTTCTTTGGTCTTTTAAAGTTGTATTTTTTCCTACTTAACTTTGGTTTTGCTCTTTATCACTGTATATGACATTTAAAACAGCAATGTATCTGTAATTATCAAATCCAAATTGATCTGTTGTTCATTTTATTTTCTTGATCAGTTCTATAATCAAATCAGCACAACTTAAGGAACCAAGGGGAACCTATGTATGAAATCTGAGAAAAATCCTTCAAGAACTTTCCAATAATAGCAACAACAAATTTTCATCATCAAAATCCAAAATGGACACCTGTCAGTCAAATTTTTTTTTTTTTTTTTGGATTAGTCCCAAAACCAAAAGGGGTACAACTAGAAACCAAGGGGAGCCTATACAAGAAATATGAGAAAGACCCTTTAAGGACTTTCCAAGAGAAAGTAATAACAAATTTTCATTGTCAAAATCCAAAATGGATGCTTGTCAGCCATTTTCTTTTTTTCCCGATTAGTATCAAAATCAAATGGGTAAATTAAGGGACCACAGGAAGTTTGTATATGAAATTTAGGAAAGATCCATCTAGTGCTTATCCAGATATCACAACAGAAACAATGGGAATTACCTTCAGAGTTGTGTTATATGTGTTATTCACACATGTGATCATAACACAAGTTTTCATGATGGGTCTGGGTGTTGTGACGCATATGTGAATGTGTGCAGTCACATGTTAACACATGTTCAAACTTTTCTGAAAACATTTCAAAAAGTTTCATTTCAAGAAAACACTTGTACAGTGATAGAAATTTTTATTTAGACCTTCATATTTTTTCATTTTACGATACTAATACAGAATTAATGATTTCTTTAAACATGTGTATTACTCAATTAAGTATAACATGATACTTAACCGTAAATAATGTTACAACATTTCTACATTTAAATGAAGATAAAAATAGCCCTACTGATGAATAACAAGTTCTTTGCTATCAAAATCTGTCACGATTTCTGTACTGTCTTCAAGTGTGTCACAATAACCATGTAAGTATACATACACCTAACACCCCAGGTAAACAGGTAAAAACCTACAGGTAAATTGACACACTCAAATTTACATTATATACATCAAACAAGACAGAATTTGCTATGATAAAATCTAGGAATGGTTATAACTCTCAATTTTTACTTTCAATAAATTTGTCTCTGATTTTATCAAATTAGGAAAGCCGTTCTTTTATTTGTACATCGCTTTGAGATGAAAAGTGATATGAACTGCTTTAATTTTGTCAGAGGAAAGGAGCTGGTGAATTTCAGATACAATGATCACTACTTTAATATTTGTTATTTCCTGCTTTCACGAAAGATTTAAGTAAGAAGACATATTCTTTGCTAAATTCATGGAACAGAATATGCTTTTCTGTCCAATTTTTTTTTAAGTATTCACTTTTTGCAAATATATACACATATTCCATTTGCAAAAATAGCATAAAATTAACACCTCAAAAATATGGACATTTTTCAGTAATTTCAACTACCTTATATCAGGAAGGATATATTTGATATGCCAGTAGCCATTATGTATTAATATATCATAGAGACCTGACATACATATCAGCCTTTCCTGAAAAACAATGAAGCACTGTCCTCTTCAACCTATTTTTTCAAGGTTTTTATTTGTTGCAATTTTATCCAATACAA